ACCCCACCAACACTACCCCCTCCACCTCCATCCCACCAACACTACCCCCTCCACCCCCACCCCACCAACACTACCCCCTCCACCCCCACCCCATCAACACTACCCCCTCCACCCCCATCCCACCAACACTACCCCTTCCACCCCCACCCCATCAACACTACCCCCCTCCACCCCCCACCCCACCAACACTACCCCCCTCCACCCCCCCACCCCACCAACACTACCCCCTCCACCCCCACCCCATCAACACTACCCCTTCCACCCCCACCCCATCAACACTACCCCCTCCACCCCCATCCCACCAACACTACCCCCTCCACCCCCCCCACCCCATCAACACTACCCCCCTCCACCCCCCCCCCCCACCAACACTACCCCCTCCACCCCCATCCCACCAACACTACCCCCTCCACCCCCCCCCCACCCACCAACACTACCCCCTCCACCCCCACCCTCATCAACACTACCCCCCCACCCCCCCCACCCCATCAACACTACCCCCTCCACCCCCATCCCACCAACACTACCCCCTCCACCCCCACCCCATCAACACTACCCCCTCCACCCCCCCACCCCACCAACACTACCCCCTCCACCCCCATCCCACCAACACTACCCCCCTCCACCCCCATCCCACCAACACTACCCCCCTCCACCCCCACCCCACCAACACTACCCCCTCCACCCCCACCCCACCAACACTACCCCCTCCACCCCCACCCCACCAACACTACCCCCTCCACCCCCCCCACCCCACCAACACTACCCCCTCCACCCCCCACCCCACCAACACTACCCCCTCCACCCCCACCCCACCAACACTACCCCCTCCACCCCCCACCCCACCAACACTAGTGGTGTGGTGGTAACACACCCGCCTGGCATTTCGCAAGCGCTTTAGCCTGGGTTCGAATCCTGGCCGGTGGGGATTTACTTAGCGTCAATCCTTAACTGATACCTCTGTTCACCCAACAGTAAAATAGGTACCTGATTGTTAAACGATTTGGCGGGTCGTATTCCAGGGAAAATTAGGATTACGGACCTGCCCGGAACCCCAACATAGAAGCCTGACCGAGGGCCTGACAGCTGAGTGGACAGCGCTCGGGATTCGTAGTCCTGAGATTCCGGGTTCGATCCACGTCGGAGGCGGAAACAAATGGGCAAAGTTTCTTTCACCCCTGATGCCCCCTGTTAACCTAGCAGTAAATAGGTACCTGGGAGTTAGACAGCTGCTACGGGCTGCTTCCTGGGAATGTGTAACAAAAAGGAGGCCTGGTCGAGGACCGGGCCGCGGGGACGCTAAGCCCCGAAATCATCTCAAGATAACCGCAAGATAACCTCAAGATAACCTCAAGATAACTTCTAGATAACTTCGAGATAACTTCAAGATAACCTCAAGATGACCTCAAGATAACCTCAAGATAAGATGGAGAACACATATTCACATGCACTGAAGATGTCACCTCAGGCAACACGGCAAGCAGCACCACCAAGGTCACTACTGGCCTACAACACTGTGGCAACACGGCAACCAGCACCACCAAGGTCACTACTGGCCTACAACACTGTGGCAACACGGCAACCAGCACCACCAAGGTCACTACTGGCCTACAACATTGTGGCAACACGGCAAGCAGCACCACCAAGGTCACTACTGGCCTACAACACTGTGGCAACACGGCAAGCAGCACCACCAAGGTCACTACTGGCCTACAACACTGTGGCAACACGGCAACCAGCACCACCAAGGTCACTACTGGCCTACAACACTGTGGCAACACGGCAACCAGCACCACCAAGGTCACTACTGGCCTACAACACTGTGGCAACACGGCAACCAGCACCACCAAGGTCACTACTGGCCTACAACATTGTGGCAACACGGCAACCAGCACCACCAAGGTCACTACTGGCCTACAACACTGTGGCAACACGGCAACCAGCACCACCAAGGTCACTACTGGCCTACAACACTGTGGCAACACGGCAACCAGCACCACCAAGGTCACTACTGGCCTACAACACTGTGGCAACACGGCAACCAGCACCACCAAGGTCACTACTGGCCTACAACACTGTGGCAACACGGCAACCAGCACCACCAAGGTCACTACTGGCCTACAACACTGTGGCAACACGGCAACCAGCACCACCAAGGTCCCTACTGGCCTACAACACTGTGGCAACACGGCAACCAGCACCACCAAGGTCCCTACTGGCCTACAACACTGTGGCAACACGGCAACCAGCACCACCAAGGTCCCTACTGGCCTACAACACTGTGGCAACACGGCAACCAGCACCACCAAGGTCCCTACTGGCCTACAACACTGTGGCAACACGGCAACCAGCACCACCAAGGTCCCTACTGGCCTACAACACTGTGGCAACACGGCAACCAGCACCACCAAGGTCACTACTGGCCTACAACATTGTGGCAACAGGTGACTTTCAAAAACAATGGGGAAATATAATACAAATTAATAAAAGTTGCAGATAATGCACATTGTCAAGGACTCCAGTATCTCTGTCAACCTTCCCATCCATTAGACGGGTGTAGGGCACAACACTGGAACTCAAGATTATTGGAACAGGTCAAACAAAAATCAAGTCAAAGACAGCATAAACAAAACAAAAACAGCCTTAGGAAAACTGAGGAGATTCCGAAGCCTCAGTACTAACATTCAGATCCACCTATATAAGGCTCTAGTCCGGCCGCATCTAGAGTATCCCCCAGTACCACTACACACCATAAAGAAAACTAACATGCAGAAACTGCAAGCAGTACAAAATAAGGCGCTAAGGAGAGCAGCAAAACACCGTCCACCATATGATCAGACAATCCAGGAGCTCCATGAACTCCTGAACATACTCAATATCCCCATTGGCCAAACTATTATGTATTAACGACAAGACCTACCATTAATGCATGATGACTTACTGTAAATATGAAGCTCTTGTAATAGCACTTTCTCTGTAACTAGCTGACATTGTATCTATAAGGTGTGAAGGATTGACAAAATTGTCTATGTAATAATCTAAGATGAGGTCCGATAAAGACCTTTTGTGCTCTCTGTAATGCTTTTGCGCTACCGCTCACAGGATGGGTATGGGGTGCACAATAAACTAGCCGCTTTCGGCGGCAACAATCAAATCAATCCTGAACACAGCCACTAAAAATCAGACTGCAGCACCAAGCCATCGAAATGTTAGAGGACCCGATGTTAGAAACATTACTCCAAGATGAGACGCCCCACTCCCACAGCTGGTGGCCCAAGATGAGACGCCCCGCTCCCACAGCTGGTGGCCCAAGATGAGACGCGCCGCTCCCACAGCTGGTGGTCTAAGACGAGACGCCCCGCTCCCACAGGTGGTGACCCAAGATGAGACGCCCCGCTCCCACAGGTGGTGACCCAAGATGAGACGCCCCGCTCCCACAGCTGGTGGCCCAAGATGAGACGCCCCACACCCACAGCTGGTGGCCCAAGATGAGACGCCCCGCTCCCACAGCTGGTGGTCCAAGATAAGACGCCCTACTGCCACAGCTGGTGGCCCAAGATGAGACGCCCCACTCCCCCAGCTGGTAGCCCAAGATGAGACGCCCCACTCCCACAGCTGGTGGCCCAAGATGAGATGCCCGATACCCACAGCTGGTGGCCCAAGATGAGACTCCCCACTCCCACAGCTGGTAGCCCAAGATGAGACGCCCCACTCCCCCAGCTGGTAGCCCAAGATGAGACGCCCCACTCCCACAGCTGGTGGCCCAAGATGAGATGCCCGATACCCACAGCTGGTGGCCCAAGATGAGACTCCCCACTCCCACAGCTGGTGGCCCAAGATGAGATGCCCGATACCCACAGCTGGTGGCCCAAGATGAGACTCGTCACTCCCACAGCTGGTGGCCCAAGATGAGACGCCCCGCTCCCACAGCTGGTGGTCCAAGATAAGACGCCCCACTCCCACAGCTGGTGGCCCAAGATGAGAAGCCCCACTCCCACAGCTGGTGACCCAAGATAAGACGCCCCACTCCCACAGCTAGTGGGCCAAGATGAGACGCCCCACTCCCACAGCTAGTGGCCCAAGATGAGACGCCCCACTCCCACAGCTGGTGGCCCAAGATGAGACGCCCCACTCCCACAGCTGGTGGCCCAAGATGAGACGCCCTACTCCCACAGCTGGTGGCCCAAGATGAGACGCCCCGCTCCCACGGCTGGTAGCCCAAGATGAGACGCCCCACTCCCACAGCTGGTGGCCCAAGATGAGATGCCCGATACCCACAGCTGGTGGCCCAAGATGAGACGCCCCACTCCCACAGCTGGTGGCCCAAGATGAGATGCCCGATACCCACAGCTGGTGGCCCAAGATGAGACGCCCCACTCCCACAGCTGGTGGCCCAAGATGAGACGCCCTACTCCCACAGCTGGTGGCCCAAGATGAGACGCCCCGCTCCCACGGCTGGTAGCCCAAGATGAGACGCCCCACTCCCACAGCTGGTGGCCCAAGATGAGACGCCCCACAATACATAACTCACTAGACGAAATACTGACTAGAAACTCCACCCATAATACAAATATACACATAAATAAATTCGTGATTTATTTAATTCTATTTATATTTAAAAGGTGTTTTATATCTAGTCAGAAAATGTTTTGAAGAATTCCGGCATCTTTTTCCCCCGCTTAAACGCTTTAAAATGATTCAGTGACTTCCCTTCATTGTTGGAAATTTTAATTTTTCATTAATTGACTCAACAATTGTGCCATATTTCCCTCCTTCATTACAATCAGTTGCACAATCCTTACAATATATTGCACAGGCGCCAGCAGCTGTTCCGAGCAGCCTGAATACATACCTGAATACATAATACTACATAATAACACATATACATGATTACAGGAAGCATAACACACATGGAGCAAAGCTCTCTCTCACTCCAAGAGAAAACTCGTATAATTTGTTGATGAAATTATGTATAATGGCTGTGTCTTAATCATCACTGTGCAGTGTCTGGGCTTCATTCCATCTCCCCCTCGTTAGTTCTCTGTGGCATTGGTCTTAATGACGTAGTTTGGGGCGTCTTAATTTGTTCTTATAATTATCTAGTCTTTGTTAGACTTTCTTTTGAAGTTTCTTTGTGAGTGGAGCCTTGTATGGGGGGATTGTGCTGGGCTGGTGGTTGCTAGGGTGGGCTTAGCTAGTTGGGCTGGGCTAGTTGTTGCTAGGGTGAGTTTAGCTAGTTGGGCTTGGCTAGTTGTTGCTAGGGTGAGTTTAGCTAGTTGGGCTTGGCTAGGGTGGGCTTAGCTAGTTGGGCTTAACTAGTTGTTTCTAGGGTGAGTTTAGCTAGTTGGGCTTGGCTAGTTGTTGCTAGGGTGAGTTTAGCTAGTTGGGCTTGGCTACTGGTGGCTAGGGTGAGTTTAGCTAGTTGGGCTTGGCTAGTGGTGGCTAGGGTGAGTTTAGCTAGTTGGGCTTGGCTAGTGGTGGCTAGGGTGAGTTTAGCTAGTTGGGCTTGGCTAGTGGTGGCTAGGGTAGGCTTAGCTAGTTGGGCTTGGCTAGTTGTTTCTAGGGTGAGTTTAACTAGTTGGGCTTGGCTAGTTGTTGCTAGGGTGAGTTTAGCTAGTTGGGCTTGGCTAGTGGTGGCTAGGGTGAGTTTAGCTAGTTGGGCTTGGCTAGTTGTTTCTAGGGTGAGTTTAGCTAGTTGGGCTTGGCTAGTTGTTTCTAGGGTGAGTTTAACTAGTTGGGCTTGGCTAGTTGTTGCTAGGGTGAGTTTAGCTAGTTGGGCTTGGCTAGTTGTTTCTAGGGTGAGTTTAGCTAGTTGGGCTTGGCTAGTTGTTTCTAGGGTGAGTTTAGCTAGTTGGGCTTGGCTAGTTGTTTCTAGGGTGAGTTTAGCTAGTTGGGCTTGGCTAGTGGTGGCTAGGGTGAGTTTAACTAGTTGGGCTTGGCTAGTTGTTGCTAGGGTGAGTTTAGCTAGTTGGGCTTGGCTAGTGGTGGCTAGGGTGAGTTTAGCTAGTTGGGCTTGGCTAGTGGTGGCTAGGGTGAGTTTAGCTAGTTGGGCTTGGCTAATGGTGGCTAGGGTGAGTTTAGCTAGTTGGGCTTGGCTAGTGGTGGCTAGGGTGAGTTTTGCTAGTTGGGCTTGGCTAGTGGTGTCTAGGGTGAGTTTAGCTAGTTGGGCTTGGCTAGTGGTGGCTAGGGTGGGCTTAGCTAGTTGGGCTTGGCTAGTTGTTTCTAGGGTGAGTTTAGCTAGTTGGGCTTAGCTAGTGGTGGCTAGGGTGAGTTTAGCTAGTTGGGCTTGGCTAGTTGTTGCTAGGGTGAGTTTAGCTAGTTGGGCTTGGCTAGTGGTGGCTATGGTGAGTTTAGCTAGTTGGGCTTGGCTAGTGGTGGCTAGGGTGGGCTTAGCTAGTTGGGCTTGGCTAGTGGTGGCTAGGGTGAGTTTAGCTAGTTAGGCTTGGCTAGTGGTGGCTAAGGTGGGCTTAGCTAGTTGGGCTTGGCTAGTGGTGGCAAGGGTGGGCTTAGCTAGTTGGGCTTGGCTAGTGGTGGCTAGGGTGAGTTTAGCTAGTTGGGCTTGGCTAGTGGTGGCTAGGGTGAGTTTAGCTAGTTGGGCTTGGCTAGTGGTGGCTAGGGTGAGTTTAGCTAGTTGGGCTTGGCTAGTGGTGGCTAGGGTGAGTTTAGCTAGTTGGGCTTGGCTAGTGGTGGCTAGGGTGAGTTTAGCTAGTTGGGCTTGGCTAGTGGTGGCTAGGGTGAGTTTAGCTAGTTGGGCTTGGCTAGTGGTGGCTAGGGTGAGTTTAGCTAGTTGGGCTTGGCTAGTGGTGGCTAGGGTGAGTTTAGCTAGTTGGGCTTGGCTAGTGGTGGCTAGGGTGAGTTTAGCTAGTTGGGCTTGGCTAGTGGTGGCTAGGGTGAGTTTAGCTAGTTGGGCTTGGCTAGTGGTGGCTAGGGTGAGTTTAGCTAGTTGGGCTTGGCTAGTGGTGGCTAGGGTGAGTTTAGCTAGTTGGGCTTGGCTAGTGGTGGCTAGGGTGAGCTAGTTGGGCTTGGCTAGTGGTGGCTAGGGTGAGTTTAGCTAGTTGGGCTTGGCTAGTGGTGGCTAGGGTGAGTTTAGCTAGTTGGGCTTGGCTAGTGGTGGCTAGGGTGAGTTTAGCTAGTTGGGCTTGGCTAGTGGTGGCTAGGGTGAGTTTAGCTAGTTGGGCTTGGCTAGTGGTGGCTAGGGAGTGAGTTGGGCTTGGCTAGTGGTGGCTAGTTGCTAGTTGCTTGGCTAGTGGTGGCTAGGGTGAGTTTAGCTAGTTGGGCTTGGCTAGTGGTGGCTAGGGTGAGTTTAGCTAGTTGGGCTTGGCTAGTGGTGGCTAGGGTGAGTTTAGCTAGTTGGGCTTGGCTAGTGGTGGCTAGGGTGAGCTAGTTAGTGGTGGCTAGTTGGTTGGGCTTGGCTAGTGGTGGCTAGGGTGAGTTTAGCTAGTTGGGCTTGGCTAGTGGTGGCTAGGGTGAGTTTAGCTAGTTGGGCTTGGCTAGTGGTGG